CGGCCGCCCGGCTCCCCAATGCTGGCCAGCCCCGGGAGGTGGGTGGCAGAGGAGCCGGAAAGGGGTTGCAGCTGGGGCCAGCCTTCTAGCCTTGGACCGGAGCCCAGTGTGGCCAGCGGCAGGGCCCCGACCTGGGCATCAGCTGGCCCACCTCTCCGGACAGGCAACACGCTAATCTGGCATCTCCCAGGCCCATTACTGGATCGGGAAGGGCCCGCAACTCTCCGCCCCTGGGGACAGCCTGGCCCTTGGGCTCAGCACTCATGAGGGAGGGGCTCCGCAGGACAAAGGGGTGGGGGAAACCCGGTGGGGTCACCTGGAATTGGCCGACATGGAGGTTGGAACCCACCTCTGGGGAGTCACTGCTGGAGCACTTCCTGCCCCCACTCCAGTTTTGGCCCTCTACCTGCTCCCGGGCTCTCCCTCCAGGGTGCTCCCAGCCCCAGCTTTTGGTTCTCACTTCCATGACCAGAAATCAGCCCCAGAAGGCTGTGGCTGGAGCTGCCTGCAGATCCCAGCATGGCACTGGTGCCAGCATCCGCTCTCCCACTGCCTGAACACCCAGGCCCTGGCTGGTCCTGAACTTGCCCTGCCCTGTTCTCACCCGCTTGACAACCTGTGACCTCTCCAAAGACCCTCTGGTGCCTGCTGGGGTCCTCAGCCCTCATGCTGGATGGCTTTCAGGCTGGGCTTTGAGGCTGACCACCTCCTACTGGTAGGGAACCTGGACAGGTTTCCAAACTCTGGAGTGTCCCTGTTCCCACTTACAGAAAAGGGGTGATTAATCATCACTTCGGGGTGCTGTTCTGGGCATTAAAGAGGCCAGTGTTTAGAAATCCTCAAAACAGAGCCTAGCACACGCAATAAAGTGCCCCACAAACGTTAGGAGTTTTCCTTTCCACAAAAAGTGATTGTCCAGCTTCAAGCTGATTCTCTGAATCTCAGATGCCCTCTCTGGAGGCCCTGAGGGCCTGGTGCCCACGATGGTCCCAAGTAAAGGGTTTTGAGGCAGGCCCAGCAATAAGCCAAGGGAACTCTGAAAAGCTGGGACAACCACCTATGTGGGCAGGGGACAGACCCTCTAGTAAAGGACTCCTAGCCATCAGACAGACCTGCCAGGACCATGGGAGCAGAGAGCAGTGACTATGCTACTAAGGACAGTGGAGAAGGGGGCCACTGGGAGGGCACAGCTAAGGGACCACCTGTACATCTGCGCAAAGCCACACCCTGGTAGGAAGATGGGGGCTGCTCAGTCACCACGCCAACTCCCCGGCAAGTCCTGGACTAACTCCTGGCTCCTAAAGACCAGGTTGGGGTGGTGATAGGGAAACAGGGCCTCCAGAAAGTCTAATCCATTGGGGTTAAGACTCAGTAGCTGCCAGGCATGGTACCTCATGCCTGTAATCCCAGCACTTTGGGAGGCTGAGGTGGGTGGATTGCTTGAGCCCAGGAGTTCGAGACCAGCCTGGGCAATATGGTGAAACCCCACCTCTAAAATAAAAAATTAAAAAATTAGGGCCGGG